TAACAATAATAATATAATAATATGTATTGATTTTAAATTAAAAATAAAATAATATAATTTAGTGGGTATTAAAGTAACAGCACCCAAAATGAAAAGTTACACATCTAAAAAGTTTTGCCTTGTATTTTTACTTTCTGTTGGCGCCAAACCTTGTCCCAGTGTAGTTTTATGTCCATACAAAAGGACACGCAGGATGAAGAATTTCTGTTTATCCAATCATAATTTCTGTACCATACCACACCTTACCCTCTTCTCTCACTCTTCTTTCACCATTTCTCCATCTTCCATTTCTTCAGTTTTCATCCATAACCACACCTTCCCTTTTGCTTCTTTCACTCATCTCTTCACCCACCAAACTCAATCATGTAAGTTCTGCCTCCCTAATGTTAATGCATTCATTCTCATACCCAACAGAAATTCACACTGGTTTTTCACCTGTGGATATCGATTATCACGATTTCTGATCTGTTTCTGACAGATTTCAGCTTTGTTCAATTGGGTTGTCGATTTATCATTCAGTGTTCATATATGGAAGCTGTTGAGGGAAGATCTTCTTCTGGATATGGCAAACCTCCATGGGTATTTAGAGGCAGGCAAGTGTAACATGTTTTCTGTAGTTACTATGTTTTGGTCTGTCTTTGTTTGTATAAGTTTAACTAACTGGTTCTGTTTCTGATATATGTATCATCAGTGCCTGGTATCAACTCCATCTTGTGAAAGCAGAGAAAGCTCGAGCATACATTCCCAAAGAATTCAAATTGGTTGAAGCCTTTGGGTAGGTAAAATTCTACTTGCTTTATGAAATGGAGATTCAATTTCAACACTGATTAGTTTTCCAATTGCTCTTGAGATTAATTAGTTTGAGTTAAAAAGGGAAGTGAGTTTCTGCCTTGTTTCCTATTTTAGTCATATTCTCTAGGCTTGAAGAAGATAGAGTTTCTTGGAGATTACATAACGAGATATTATAATTTACATTAATGGAGGAATATCTCTACTTTACAAAAAGGTTTAGTGAGAATAAATTAGACTTAGATTTTAGGTTTATTTCTTTCCATTTTACCCAAACAATTAATACGTAAGTTAAGAAAAGCGAGTGATTTATTAACTTGTTAGTTTATCATTACATCAAAACCCAAATAAACAAAGAAAAAAATTGAGTCATTGCTATAAATACACGTAATAAAGTTAAGCCAACTTTTAATATAAAATAATATATTATTGTTTAAATAGTTGATAATAAAATAGCAAAGATCATCAAGAAAAAGATTTCTTCAGGTGAATAGATCACTGTTCTTAAATACTTATTCACAGTGTATTGTACAAGTTTACTAAAATATAACTTGTTATATCATATAGTTTGTTATATCAACTCTGAAGCATTGTATATATATATAATGTGAAATTCAAGATGATTTTTCTTTTTGTTTCTACAATACGTGGATTGTTATAAAAATAATATGCATAACAATTATATCTAAAACTTAATCTCACTTTTTTTTAATATGGTTCAAGAAAATGATTGATGACTTGTAAGTTTCAACACTTAGGATTTCTAAACTATTTCATTTACATGTAATTTCTATCAATCATAACTCAAAAGGAAAGAATTCATCGTTGAAGAGTAGGTGGAGGTGATTATATTTTTGTTCAGATCATATCGAAGTTTCACATTAGAAATTATAAATTGACATAAAAAAGTGTGTATTAAAAGTTAATATAACTTGTCACGACGCTTTCAACTCAATTCATGGAAACACACAAACTTACAAAATTGTATCTGGCTTTTGACTATTGTAATAAAAAAGTTTATTTTGAAACTTGTGATTTCTGAATTGAATCCCTTCATGCAGATACACTCTTGGTGGTTTCTTTCTAGCAAGTTATGAGGACAGTCCAGTTGGTGTCTTTGATGAGGTTTTGTTATATTTTAATCTCAGATTTTTTCTTCAAATGTTTTTTGAAACATACAATTTGTTGCTGACATTAGAACTTTGTGATGGGTAACAGCTTGTTGTGATCGCAGGACTTGTATGGAACCGCCCAACATCCTGCGCGTATGTTCCTACTTTTCACTATATCATCATTATACATAAAAATTAAATATATTTTTATTGTGAAATTAAAATTTGTTTTTATCTAAAATTTTGATATAGATATTCTTCAAACTTTAAAATAATAAATTAGGTTAAATTTTCTTATTTTTATTTTAATCTTAATTAAAAAATATATTTAATACATAATGTAATTGAATTAAAATGATTATATTTATTTATTTTTAGAGTTTGGAATTAAAATTTCAAAGTTTAAAAAAAAAATCAATTTCACATCAAAATTTAAAAACTTAAAATATATTTAACCCTGTCCGTATTGCATGCATATATTAAAAATTTCTTTTTTCATGTTATCTAATAAATATTTAACTTGAATAAGAATTGTTTAGATCCAAAGTCTGTGACATTGTTAGATCAATTACCATACATTTGATGTATTATTCACTTTGGACCATTGTTTGGTACATTTTGTCCTTAAAATAAGCCTAGGAGGGTGAAAGGAGAAAGAAATATTTAAATCGTCTTAGACCTTAACTTTTAAGCGATATGCGACTATTGAATCTAGTAGAAACATAAGTCCCAGTCAAAGTCTAAGGAGAATGTTCTGTTATCCCTAGTGGAGGACTTAAATGTTCCATTATCAGTCTTACATTGAGCAACACTATTCTGATCCCAAATCCTTCAAGCGACATCGTTAGCTTCAATCACCATACATATGAGATATTGTCCGCTTTGGAGTCTTATTTGTCATGATTTTATTCTTAAAAGGTGTCTCGAAGGACGGAAGGAGGAAGGGGTATTTAAACCATCTTAGGCCTCAACTTCTAAGCAATGTGAAACTATTGAGTATGGTAGGAACATAAGCCCCTAGTCGAGGACTAAAAGGAATCTTTTGTTATCCTTAATGGAGGACTTAAAAGAAAGAATATTCCATTATCAACCCCAAAGACCGAATGCTCCTTTATCGGCCCATGCTGAGTGTCATGGTTTTGTCCTTAAAAGGTGTCTTGGAGTGTAGAAGGAGGAAGAGATATTTAAATTGCCTTAGGCCTTAATTTCTAAGCGACGTGAAATTATTGGTTGTGGTAGGAACATAAGCCCCTATTTGAGGTCTAAGAAGAATATTTTATTATCCCTAGTGGAACATTTAAGAGACTGAATGTTATGGCAATCCTCTAAGCTAAGTTGAGCCAAAACTAGAAGAAAAACCATGGAGGCGGGTGAAGGATGATAGGGTGTAGAAGCTTTGATGGACAAGGGAGCTAAGCACAGAATTTTGTGTGGTTTATATAAGAGAGGTTGGACCAACTTTTGGAGGAATGTGGCTAGAGAAGGCCACTTGGGTTGCTCTGGCCTAGAGTGACCTAATAAAAGTAGTATGGCTCAAATTTGGCAACATAACAATACTCTATTTCAAACGTAATTACTTGAGGGGGAGACATCTTTATTTATAGGCTAAGGTGTCTCTAAATAGGCAGAAACTTCGACATAAAAGAGCCACCTTGGCTAGCTTGGAAAACAAGGAGAAATCCTCTTCAATAAGATGAAGACAAGTGGCGAAATGATCTCTAATGGGACATGTGGTCATTACCTATGGAGATTCCTCTTCATTCCTAGAATGATACGTGGCCACTGACAAGGAGGAAAAACTCTCCAAAGAGTGATGACACATGGCATGAACAACTCACTCCTCCTTGTCTACCAAGTTAGATGAAACTTTGACCCCTTGGTCAGCATTGGGCATTGACCCTTTGTTGACTTCAGTGGTCAAAACCCTATATACTTGGCCTAAAATACAAGACCCAAAATAAATCCTACACTACTAGATTCATAATATAAAGCATAAATAAATCCTAGACTACTTTTTCAAAATACTCTAAAAGCTTCATATGACCCAACATGGTCCAAGAAATAGAGTCTAGACTCATCTTCCAGAGATGATTTCAACTCTTCTTGAAAGTATTTGGTCATGACTAGGGTGTATGCCATCAGAATGTTTTGTTATCGATCCCACGATGGACACAATAATTTCGTTAGGATGAATCACCATGTTTGAGGTATTATCTGCTTTGCAACTTTGTTCGTCATAATTTTGTCCTTAAAAGGTAACTCGAAAGATGAAATAAAAAAAAGGATTTAAATCGCTTTAGGTTTTAATTTCTAAGCAATGTGAGACTATTTGATGTGGTAGGAGTAAATATATTTGATTTTGGATAATAAGAAAAAAAATATTTTTAATATAATAATTTTGATTTTGAACTTTATTAATTGTTAATATAATTAAATATATTTGATTTTTATTAATTGTCACACAAATATATATATATATATATATATATATATATATATATTAAACAATAAGATTTAATCAATTTACAAATTTTAAATTTACAAAATAAAAAGGAAAGAAAAAAGACTTCCTTGAATGTTAATGATATATATTAAGATTAATTTTTTATTTAATAAACGCGCCTGATATTGCTAAATGTTAAAAACTGTTTAATTATTTTAATTATTAATAGAATTTAATAAAAAATAACATGATTAAAAATTTATATTAAATTTGTAAAATATTTTTATTATACTAAAAATAAAATATACCAATATGTATAGCATTGAACTGATTATTTATCAATAAAATATGAAAAAGAACAGCACTCAATTGGAATGAAGTTTTATATAAAAATTAATTCCAAAAGATGTTTTCAACCAAAGTGGATGTTGTAGTTTTGTGCATGTGATGCTGCTGCTACCCACACCTTACCCATAATTAAACTTTAAATTTTTTTAACGGTATAAACAGTGGAGACATAAGAACTAAACTCTAAAATTAAAGTCCAAATTTATAAATATAGAAATTAAAATAAAAGATTGAGATAAATATGGTCAATAGTTCAACCTTATTTTTATACTATATTGTAGCTTGTCCAATCAAAACATAGATAAGGTTCATGCCTTGGAAAGGAGGAACATTATTCTTACATCTTCTAATGTGTGGCTATGTGTTTTCTTATTAAAATAACATTATTTAAGAAAAGTATACAAAAAGATAAAATAATATTTAATATTACCAATACACTTGCCTGTGTAAAATTGTCTTTATACCCTTTTCTTAATGAATGGCTTTCAAACACTTGTTTGTGCACCATCTTTAAGTTGCCACCAAAAAAATAAAACATTATAAACATTTTTATATTAATAACGAATAACTCAAATCATCTTTTCTCCTTTTCTTAATACTTTTTTAATTACTAAATTAAAGCAAATAGTTTTTACTGTATCATTTTAAAGATATACATCTATTTTATTTAATCAGTATTAGAAAAATCATCTAGAAATTGTAGAGGATATAACCAAAGTGTTCTAGATATGTTAATATACTAATCAAACCAAAATATAATAAATGACACAGCAGCTTTCATAGATCATAAATACTTTATAATAAATTCTAGACCCATGCATGAGTGCATAAAACATTGGTACATTGTATTATTATGCATGATGTCATAATAATAATACCTGTTGCGGCGATTCAGTAGACTCAGGCCACAGTGGCTTATTTATTCTTCATTATTTTTGAACATTTTTTCTTCTAGAATTGTTTATTGGTCCAAATTCTTTGCTGCATAAGATAAAGCACTTATTTAGCATAAACATGCAGTTGCATTGAAGCGATTATGCAGGATTCTTTTTCCGTTTTGATATATCAAGAAGTTCTTGTAATTGTATTTTTCTTCTGACGAAAAAGATGGGCAACAAGGGTGTACGTGAACAATGATGACGCCTGTTGTCACGGAAGAAAGGTAGAAGAAAATTCCCAGATGCATGCATTCTAAATAAGGTTTAACAAATTGCTGAATTTCATTTTATCTAGAGATCAGGAGAATTAAGTTTTATGTGTTCTGCAAAATAATTCATGGATGATGATTTTGTTAGATCAGATAGACCGATTTATAATATATAAGTGAGTGTAAACCTTATCTTACACTCCGGTTTTGTGGGATTGAATTAGGCTTAAAATCTACTTCTTAACATGCTATCATAGCTATGATTAGTGCATATCCTAACGATATTTGTTGTTTATCTTCGATTCTAACTTTCCCAACTGCACTTAAAAAATTTTCATCTATAATTTGGAATGGAATGAATTGCTATGCTCAGTTTTCCTTGATTTCACCCTCTATATGTAACCTTCTATTATGGTATTGTTTTACCATTTTGGTGTAACTCTGAAATTTTTGGCAGGAGGTTGGGCTTCCAAGCCAGATGGCTAGGTTTTCCAAGGTAATTGTTTTGACCTATTGCATCATTGCAGTTCAATCTTTTTGAACACTGCTTATGATGTTGTATGCCAGTTTTGAGGATTTTATCTAAAACTAAAGTTCAGACATTAAACCACAAGCTGTGTGCATAACACTGATACTTGATAAAGCACTAATCAATAAAACTGAACATGGGAATTCTCTAAGTCTAGGTCATTTTGGATATTTTGCATATTTCATTTGGCCATTCCTCAAAAAGACAATCACAGCAATCTCAAGACAACAGAGTGGCAAAAAGAGTGAATTTCTTCATAGGATTGGAATTGGTGCCAAGTTCTCTAGTCCAAAGGATCCCCTGAATGTTGAAGTAACCAAAGTCAAATGTGCTGATGCAGAAGAAGCATGCAATATTAACATCAGTCTCACCAGTCCTGGTCAGTGGATTCTTTTATTTGATTTCACTAGCTTCATTGTGTTTCGTTAATATTACTTGAAAAGATACATTTTTTCAATGCCTCTTCCTGTTTTAGTTGCTATCAAATGGTTATTGTAAATTCAGTGTACACTAATTTGGGATCAGTAATAGCATAGATTATGATTCTGTACATAGAATTATCTAAAAGGCTTGCCATGGTGTGAGGGTGAAATTGCTATGTTTTATGACAGTTCTCATTGTGTTTGATTTGTTTAGCTTGCCCTCTAATTATAATTGACACCATAAGGACTTTTCTGATGACAACCATGTTGATTGCAGTGCCTTCTTTGAGCTTTGACCACAGGTTAGGCCCAAAAATCAGAATGTCACTTCCAAGTTTTAGGTAAATTAGTGCAACAATCCATTTTATACACTTTATGTTACCAGAGTTTTGAGTTTTCATTGACTAATGATCACTGTTTCAATTTTGCAGTGGAGCTACAGAGTATAATCCTAACCTCCTCAAATACTCTTGCCAGATTGAATGCAGGCTAGAATTCAACTTATTACTCTTAAAGAAAGATCTATACAATAGCAATAGATCATTCTTGCTATAATCATGGGTTTTGAGTGAGGATTTACAATAAATTTAAGGATCTTCTTCCTTACATGGTGTTCAACTTTTTTAATTTTAATCAACGTGAAATTTAGACTCATATTTGAATTTTTAATAATACGAGGATTTTACTAGAAAAAACACAACAACTGAACCTGAATCAAACTTACATAAATTTAACGTCATTTTAAATTCAAAACCTTAAAACGAGTTTGAATCTTTCTTTTTATAGTGTTCAATTTTCTTATTTTTACTTAACGTAGAACTTTAACTTATACTTAAATTCTCAACCGTTATTAAAAAATCAACAAAGTTATGATATTGTAAAACCTGTGTATGAACTTGTTACTTTTTCTTTTAAATTTCAAAAGAACAAAGAGATTAATGAATATGACTCTGTCAATAGCCTAAAAGTGTCTTTTCAAAATTTAATAGGGTGCAAGCATTGAAACCGTTGAAGGTATCACAATCATTCACTTCAACAAATGATGGAGCTGAACAAATTTTAGAAGATCATGGAAGAAGCAGCTGCCTTGTGGGTGAAAATCATAAAACTGAAGCACAGAATTTCAGCACTTGTGTGATGTTATCAAAACCCTTACTAGCACTAAAGTTTAGTCAATTGAAGATGCAGGTTGAAGCACCCCTTGTGCTTTCCCAGTGCTCAAATTCTTTACAAACTACTGTAAGTTCTGTTCCATAGGTAGCACTGTCTTTCAGTACAGAAATTATTTGTTTCATCCTTTAAACTCTAACGTTTATTCATCTCATCTCCTGTGTTTTTTTGCTTTAACATAGGTCAATTTTCTCTTTCATTTTCATGTCTTTATTTTTCGTTTTTATAGAGTTAGATATCTATTCTTATAGATTACTAGATTTATTTCTAATTAAGGTTGTCTTTCATCAAATTAAGGTTTGTGCAACTGGATCATAGTTAAAAACACCAATAATAAAACATATAAATTTTAAAATCTAAGATATTTTAGGAAATTAAAAAAATCTGAAAATAAATTTGAAAAGACAATAAAAACTTGTTGCAGAAAAGAAAAATCTCATACATAAAATTTTAAGCAAAATATTGTTTATTTTCATATCATTGTTTATTGATATGCAATCTTGTTTTCAGTTGCTTGTGCTTGTGGTACTGGTTTAAGACTGCACGTAATATATGAATAATTCTTAATATATAATATAAAACAACTTTCTCTTTACCTTAATATTTTAATTCATTGTCTTAAATGTAGTTTGACATTTGGAAAGAAAATATATATATATATATATTATATTGATATAAAAATCATTTAAAAATGTATAGATTAATTTAATCATATAATAATGAATTAAAACTTTTGATAATTAATATTAAAGACTAATTTAGACTCTATTCTTAAAATAATTATGATTTTTTATTAATAATATATATTTTTATTAGAAAAAATTTCGATTATCCAGATGATATGGATAGAAGATTCACTTTTTTCAATGTTAAAATAAGTTAGAATAAAAAAATATAAATATAGAAGAATTTAAGAGATCCATGTGAGAATACAATATATTTTACAGACGGGTGGACAAGATAAAGTAATTAATTGATAATATTATTGATTCACAACTTAGATTTTAGTAGTATTATTGATTGCCAAATTCATTCAATTTAATTTATTATTTGTATATACAAGTATATTAATTATATATTCAATGATATTTGTGGCATGTTTTACTCATAAATCTATTTATTATGGTATGATATGTACATATTGCATGACATTATGAGAATATTATATTTATTTAATATTATTATCCAATTTGGATATATAGATACAAATAAATTTTACAAAATAGTGTTTAATTAATTATTTTTGTTTAGATATGTTAATACAAAATCGTTTAAAAATCCTTTATTTTGAAATTTAACAAAATCATTTAACAAAATAGTGTCATAAAAAAATCATTTAGGATAACTTACAAACGATATATATAGTCTAAACAATATCTTAAATGATGAAAATAATAGAATATCTTAAACACAATACACTATTTTAAACAATATAAAGAAATATTTCCCTAAATGATGCTATAGTACACAAACTACGTTAAATGTTATAATAAACGTTTAATGTTTTAAATCCAATGTACAAATAGTATTTTTTTGTCTATTATTTAGTTTCTTCTTTATCTTGCAGATCCTTCAAGGATAGATGCTTTATCGAAAGTTATTGTTAATTTAGAAAGACGTTGAGAAATACAAAGACATTATAGGAATGTTTTTTCAATGTCTTTTATTTGACTAATTCGTACAACAACATAGTTTCTCTACACAAGCAAAGTAGCATTTGACAACGTACAAAATACTAAAATAACTACCAAAGTCAATGTTATAGAGTAACAATTTTTTTTCAAAATTGTTTATAAATAGAAGATTGTATGAAGAAGAGAAAACAACAACAAAAACGAATTAATTGAACATATTCTTTGTTAGTGCCTCATTTAACTTTGAGAAATCTTTTTGTAACAAGTCTTTTCATTTATACTTTGTATTTATCAATATCATCTCTAAGAGAGCTTTTCATCTGTACTTGGTTTAAAAATAAACACTTTTTTGTTTTTGGTAATCAAGTTTGACTTAAAATAGTTATTGTTTAACTTAAGGGGAGTTAAAACATTTAGCCAATTGGGCTATTGTAAAACTAGGAGTGGTGAAACTCATTGTAACTTGTTAAAGTTAGTAGAAACCTTTAAGGAGTCCTTAAAGAAGAAACTAGATGTAGCTCAGATTTTGGAGTGAAACCAGTTATAAAAATGACGTTTTCCAAACTCTGCTATTTTTTTGTTGTGTTGTTTCTAAACGCTTTCAGAAATTCTTAAGTATTTCAACACTTTCTACATATCTAACTAAACCCTTGCCAACCAAACCGCCTAACACTAATTACAAAAAGTTTTGCAACTTTATATTCAAAAAACCCCCCTCTTTTCTAGAGTTTTTTCCTGTTATTTTAGTTGGTATCAAAGCTACACCTCTTGGGAGGAACAATCCAAATCACCATGGGAAAAAACGAAGGATTTATCATATCATCCAACTGCAACCTCCTCTTTATTCAAGGGGAGAAAGTTTTATTATTGGAAACAAAGAATGATAGCATTCTTGGAATCAAGGCCAAGAGCTGAGTCTAACGAACATTTCTCCGATGGCCTATATATAGAAGATCATCCAGATAAAGAATCAAGAGGATAACATGCAACGAAAATATTCATTATGAGAAAAACATTCAAAAGAAAAGCACAGAAAGAGGTCAAGAAAAGAAAAAATCTAAGCAGAAAAAGAGAAAAGAAGTCAAACAATACTCTCAAGCTTCTTTGTAATATTGACTTACTATTGTAAGAAAGAGAGAAAGAGAAAAGAGAGAAACACCTGCGAGTGTTTAGACTGCATTGTATTGTACTCACATCTTTTCTTTGAGAGTAATAGTCTGAACGACTTGTAAGCAATCGTTGATTGCAATTCTGAAGAGAATCAAACACTGTTGAACTCTATGGAGTTAAGGAAATCTAGGCAAGGTTGTCTAGTACCAGGAGTGGTGTGAATACTCTAGTCTAGGATAACATGAGGTTATTCGCTGACTAAGAAGACCAGGAGTGGTGCGAATACTCAGTTGTAATCTTATTAAAGATTATAGTGGAACCCTCTATGAAAGAGGCTGGAGTAGCTTAGTTTGAGTGAACCAGTAAAAAATACATGTGCAATTGTTGTTCATTCTTTTGTCTAAACACTTTTCTCATAAAACTTGCATACTTTTTATTTCAAAGTACAAGAAACTTTGCTTCTAAACGATTCTTATTCAATTGAGGAAGTTCTCATAAACACTGCAGTGTACATTCTGAATAACACGTTAAAAACAATTTTGAATGACACACACCAAGAGTGGGTGAAACTCAACTAGGTTGTGTATTGGGGGATACCAGGAGTGGCCTAGGAATACTAAGGTGGTAGAATACTCAATTGTAATCTTTGTTAAAATTATAGTGGAACTCTCTAAGGATATAGACTCTAGACGCAGTTTATTTCGAGTGAACCAATATAAAATATCTATGCATTTATTGTTTACTTTTGTCTCAACGTTTTTCTTATTAACCTGCAATTGCATTTTAGTTTTAAATACAAGAGCTTCATGTACTAAGTGTTGTTCATTAAAAAGGAAGTTCTTACAAACATTACAGTGAATATCCATAATAGCACGTGAAAAATTCTTGTTTAAAATCTTTTAAGGTCGAGCGATTTAAGAATTACTTGAAAATCTTGTATTCAACGAAAGTGCTCAACCCCATCCCCCACTCTAGTGTTTTCAGGTACTTCATAACTATGACTTTGATTGTCTTTAGGTTGCTTAGAGATGGACAAGAAGCTAACTCATGTGCATATGTTTCCAAAATTGCATCCTTATTCATAAGATTGGTTGGGAATGGACAAACAACTAACTCATTGCATTTATTCTAAGTTGTGTCCAAACTAATAAAATGGCTTAACTTTCCAAAGTAATTGAAACTAAGCAAACATAATATCAAACACATATTCATTAAGTTCCAAGTCTGGGACTTCCTTTTTTGTCATTCTTCTTCTTCATTGGCTTTTGTCATTTAATTGATAAATAAATATTTCCTAGGTAATATCATTTCTTCTTCCCCATTGTTGGTGCCACTACTTCTTGATGAACAATTCTTACTTACAAACAAAACTAAATAAGATGAATTATACTTCCATTAAATGACAAATTAGGATGCTCTTTTCTTTATTTTTTCCTCTTCTCTCTTTTAGTTCTCTTCTATTTCTTTTACTCTTTTCGTTTTCTCTTCTTCTCATTTCCTCCTCTTCTCTCTTCTTTCTTCTTTCTCTTCTCTTCTCTCTTATCTTTCTCTTATTTCTTTTGCTTCCTTTTCTATAAGTACTTCCTTTTCTTGTGCTCTCTTTAGCTTCCGATCTTTTCTACTTTTCTACGCATCTAATTTTTGCAAAGTCCTTTCTTCCTTCGCTTTCAAATATAGAATGTTGTTCTTGAGGTCTTCATTAGTAGTCATGAGACTTGCATTCCAATTAGGACATTGATGAGTGTCATGCCCATAACCTTCACATTGGAATATCTTATAGATTTAACCCTTGAGAAAATATGTTTTGTCAAGCTTATGTTCGTTTTAATACTAAAAAGTTTCATCCATTCAACTTTACAATTCTGGACTCCAAGGCAATTAACATTCTCCACCAAGGCCTCATGAGAAACACAACTTCCAGAAGGATTCCTCTATTGGAATATGTTGCATTGTTTCATTTTGATAAATCCTGCACAAGTTAAAAAAATTAAAATAACAGAATATATTAGATCCCCGCAACTCGTCTAAGTGTTTCACTCAAATTTTACCTCGTGTATCACATGATAAGCTTTTTCTTGAATTACTATCTTGTCTTTTACCACTCAATTTCCCTTAGTGCTTTGGCAAAAACTCTAGTTCTATACAAAGAGTGAACAAACAATGTGAAAAATGTTGGTGAGATATAACTCTTATTTAAAAGTTAAAAGAAAATAAAAAACTTAAGGAATTTTTAAAATACACAAAACAATAATTTAGAAAATAATAGGATAACCAAAAGAGCTAAATGAGACAATGTAAGAGTATAAACCAACTGAATATAATCTCAAAAGATTAACAATAACAAGCAATAATGTAATATAATATTTGCGTTGAACTCTATAACTTTTTCTTTGCTCTTGGATCTTACTTTATCTTTTTTTAATATATCTTTGTTTTTCCTTTATACTTGGATCCATTATGTTTTTTTTTTAACTTTGCAATTCAACAGACAAACTAAGAAAACTAAACAGATTCCCTTCAAACACCAAAACTCATGTAAGATTTAAGTCAAGGTAAACAATTAATTAATTAACACAAAATACACAAACAAATAATTTCCACGAATCAAATGTAGAAATGCACAATTAGAAGAATAACACACACAAAAATATAAATCTCGCGAAACTGGATAAAATTTTGGTTTTTTTAATATGACAGAAAAAAAAATTAAAAGAGGATATTCAAATCACAAACTTGCTCTAGATACCAGATGATATTTGGTATCTAGAAAAAAATTCAAACCAAATCCTTGCTATGAATACTAAATGATACAATCCTATCTAGGAAAGAGTATACATCATTTCTGAATTTGAATCCTTAAGAAAACACAAAAATTAGAAAGAATGTAGAATAAGACAAGGGATGATGACACCACAATCTAGCTGATAGTAGTGAGATTCACCACAAATATGTTAATCTTTGATAAGAGTTAAAGTTTATACAAAAACAGAGAATCATTCTTAAAGAATGCAAATGCATATAATATGACTTAAAAGTATTATCCAGCTTTTGTAACTCTATATATAGGAACATAAGTTTAAGAAAACCTAAAATAACCCTAAAATAAAGCACAAAGCACAAAGCCTAAAATATAAACATAACAAAAGCGAAAATACAGACTCACGACTTTCGCCGAGTGAGACCCGCTTGCCCAACGAATTTAATATTCTGCAAAATTAAAATAAAATGATAATTATTTAATTTCCTAAATTATTCTTCAATTGTTCTCATGATCTTCATCTTCTTTAAGTTTTTTCCTTCTTGATCTTTGACCTTGTCAGAAATCCTTTGAATTGCAAATGTTCTTCTTCAAGTTGTTCTTGTATATGTTCAAGAGATAGTCCTGTACCACTTTAGGGGGCCGTAAATTGATTATATTTGTAATAAGCTTTGTACATACTATTTATATCCACTAGTTTGAGGAAGAGTATTGGATATATTAGATTATAGATATCTTATATTTATTCTTTATATTTAGTTAGTTTGTATTATTTCTTATTTGTATTTTGGGCTTAACCATATTCTTCTATTATAAATATAGTACCTTGTATGTATATTCAACACAAGGGAGATTAATCTCCTACTTAGTTTTTACTATATTAAACAATTTTATTATTTAATATTTTATTTATTTTATTTGTTATTATTTTCTTGTACTATTTTTATTTTATTTGACTAACCCTTTGTATAGTTTTTATAAGAACTAATTTGTTAAGACTCGGGTCAATGTTCTTCCTCTACTCCACACTCGTCATCGTTCGACTAAACTAGAGGAATTGCCTACAAAAGACACGAACACTATGATGTTAAAGTCAGTCAAGTGTCCGACACTATTAGCAATAATGTGCAATGAATGTAAGCCAACCTACCCCAATACCACAAACCTGTATTTATATTTTCGAGATAAGTTTTAATTAGTGTTGACCTAATTATGACCTAATTGGTAATGGTCTAGCTTAGGTTTAACATAACCATCCTTAACATTAATTCCAATTTTAGTCAAACTGCCAACTTCCTGGACGATTCTTGTGAGGTTATTTGTTAACCGTTGGGCAACTATTCGATTTTTAGACTAACAAGACGTTATACTATATCATATATATATATATTAATATATATATATATATATTATATATATATATATATATAAAAGAGAATTACAAACTTTCATTTATTAAAAATATTATAACATAATAATTAAATTTTTATTACAATGATAAAATATGTCTTAAAGGAGAAAAAAATACGACAAACTGTCTGACCCAGTAAAAACTCTAGGTTTTCAAAAATTCACGCCACTCTCTGCATGCAACATATCTTCAACTTTCTGAACTCCATTCTTCTCCTCCTTTCTCTAAGATTTCTTCATCTTCTCTCTACGAAATCTTACTTTTTCTTTCTCTCGATCATCAAACAGACCACACCTGAGCATTCCGGCGTCGAGGGCGTTTGTTGAACTGATCAGTTTTCGATTCTCGAGCTGGTAAGTTCATCTCTGCCTCAGCGTGTGCTTTTCCTGTACATGCAAAACCTAGTTTAGGGTTGCATGAATCAATCATCTTGTTCTGAGAGTTTCTGGATGTTCTGTTTGGTTTAGTTTCGGAGTTGTCGAGCGTTGAGGGTAGAAGATTTGTAGAAGGTGAACCAGTAACCATATCTGTGAGCGTTGGTCACGTTAAGAGGTAAGGAAAGCTTATATAATTTGATTTAGATTCTTGCTTTGTATGGATGCATGTTCGTTGATTTTTGAATGAATATGAAAAATGGTTGTTCTGCATGTTGACTGTATGAGGAACTGGAATGATATTGTGTTTGATGATTTGGTTGATGATGAAATATGGTATGTCGTTTAAAAGTATTGATGATTAATGAAAGCCATAAATGGGTAGGGATGTTGTCGAGAGTCAGTATTGATCATTCAATTATACAAGCGTTCGTCTCAGTATCGTTCAGTTTTAATAAGTGTTGGTATTAGACCAGCGCTCGTTCGATATGTGTTCGGGTTTTCTGTGGACTCGGTTGGAACTGGATTCTTCATTTGGAGAGATTTTAGTTGAAGACTAGCGTCTTCGTTTCGTTTTGTAATATTTGTACTTAAGCGTTTCACCAAGAGATATTCATTCCTTGGTATTTGATTATAAACTTCAGTATATCTATATGTATTTGTATATTTCGGTCGTTCTTGAACATTAGTTAAATGATATCTATATTTACAAGCCTTTATTCTATAAATTAAGTAGTGCTCGGTCTTACACCAAGCCTCTACTAGGTAAGTCTCGGTCTTACCCCAGGGCTAGTTCTCATTTCCGTAATCTATCTTTATAATAAGAGGTTCGTCCAAACTCAACAGTGTTCGCTCTCTACAGTGCCCGGTCTTCGCCTTGCATTCGTTTCCTTGATGTTTAACTCATTAAGAAGCTAAGTATTTATTGGTGTTCGGTTTCTTCATATGATTCCGTCAAGTGCTATTATTTGATGTCCTACAGTATATGTCTTAATTGGTTTTGGCCTAGAGTCTTAGTACTCGGCCTAGGCTTTACGGTGTTCGTTTGAACTCTCAAGAGTCAGTTCATTAATTGGCTCACTTGGTAAACAACATTCGATTATATTAATCTTGAGAAGTATTATTATATTCGGTCCTTTTCACACTAGTGAGTAACTCTCTCAATTTGATTATGTTTGAGTTGGAGACATCTCGGTCTCACTCCAAGTGTTCGGTCTTGTTCTGGATTAAAAATTAAGTTCGGTATTTGGCATCCTACGTGATCTTTATTCAAATTGGTTAAGTTGAAGTTTTAATGATGAAAGATGATGGAATATGATATGGATGAAATGACTTTGATTATGAAAGAGTATTCCGGGGAGGAATATCTCATGAATGGATATTGAAATTGTTAAAGTATGAATGTGGGCACGCTAAGCTGGTGGATCATCATGATATTCCGTGATTACTCGTTCTCACGTAGAGATGGGTAAGTCAGTGTGGGAATGCAGAGGTCCTAGTCCTTATGGTTATTTGGACAAGTAGGACTAACCTCGGGTGGCAGCTGTTGAGGGTATCCCAGTTACTACATCACCCGGGTGCATGAACGTCGTAGCTACACAGAATTTATACAGTCCGGACAATCATAGTCTAGTATTAGGCTTTACATAAAAGAGTTAATGATTTATCCGGTTTAATTGATTTTATGAAATATGCTGATACATGAATTAAATTACATAAGCTTACCCTATTTTCCTGTCTTGTCTATTTTGTATGTTCGATCGTTTGTCCTGTTGCAATGATCATCCATGTGGATGTGAACAGAAGGAGAAGAGTTGCTGGAAGAAGCGTTGGAAGAAGAAAGTTTGGTCAAGGTAAAGTTAAGACCGAACAGTAGAACCGTTCGATAGTAGTTAGTTTATTTGTACGATGACCGTTCGATTATCTTTTACTCTTTTCTTTTGTATGACCGGGCGTATAGGTCTTTTGTAAACCGTTCGGTCTAGATTGCTTATTTGTACGTTTTAACTTTCTCGTTATTTGTAAGGCCGTCCGGCCATAAGGCACGTCTATCTTTTGGAAGACTGATTGTATATTATTAACATGTGATTATTCTATTATATAGTTTTATACTGTATTTTTGGATTTAACAAACCGTTATCTACTTCTTAAAAAAAAGAAAATTCGACTAAATACTCTTTCACTAAAAAAAAATGAACATTTATTAATCATTATATCATTACTATTATTATATAAAGAATGACTTCACTGGTGAATTAAAAAAAATGAAAATATCCCCCCAAATAGTTAGTAATCCAATCAAGCAATGTTTTTGTTTTCTATTCAGCGGAATTTTTAAGCTACGCGGCTTTCACAATTGGGCCTATTTAGATGCAGGCCCATCAATAATTTTCATCCACAAACATTTCGTTTCGTTTCTTCTCATCACCCGCTAACTTATCACAAAAAAACGAAAGAAAAACCCTTGCTTCTTCTCCGATCATCAGTCTCCTCCTCCTTCTTCTTCAATTTCCCGTCCAACAGAGAGGGAGTTCGTAACTTCGAATATTCCTATTTCTGCGAGAATTAGGGTTGTGTGCCCTAAGCAAAGAAGATTCTCGAACCTGACCATGTTTTTCTTCTTCTTTCTTTTGCAGAGCGACTCGCGAAATCACGTCATGTCGTGATTTTTCACGATTCCGCCAAACGAAGATCCTGCTCGCTCGTGATCTAACTCGTGGATAGGTAGCACAATCGCCAAGGCGTAACATTCTTCGATTCAGATCGCGGTTGTTACTACCTTGCTCCTAACGATGTTTGGTTCGAACCGTAAGTATTGCCTCCTCTGCGTAAATTCGTAATGTTTTTGCGTGCTTGGTGTTAAGATAATGGTGTGTTTATGCGAGTGTTGGGGTTGCTTTGGAGAGTGGTTGTTTTATAGTTTATTGGTGTTGTTATTATTATTAGTGTTCTTTGCTGTATTTGTTGATTGGTTGTAAGTGTGCATGAAGGGTGGGGAATGGTATTTGTTTACTTATTGATTACTTTCGCAAACCGTTAATAATTTGGTGTTATTCTTTCGACAGCTTTTGGGCAGTCTTCGTCGAGCCCTTTCGGCTCTCAATCAGTTTTTGGACAGACCAATTCAAGTACCAATCCATTTGCCCCTAAGCCGTTTGGTAGTACGAGTCCATTTGGTTCGCAAACTGGAAGTTCCATGTTCGGAGGTACTTCCACTGGGGTATTTGGTGCGGCACAACAGTCTTCTCCCTTTGCTTCCAATACAGCTTTTGGGGCTTCATCGTCACCTGCTTTCGGTAGTTCCGTGCCCGCTTTCGGGTCTTCTTCAACTCCTGCTTTTGGTAGCTCATCATCGTCATTTGGTGGTATGAGTGCATGGAATTCTTTTTTCATTTTGTTTACGGGTTGTTTTTGTTGTGTGTTCATTAGACTGTCTTCATTTATTTCTTTCTGAAAGCTGAAAATTACATCAAATTTTTCATCAGGTTGTTCATTGAATTCCTGAGTTCTTTAGAATCATTTAGCTTGCTGTCTTCATTTTTTTTAACAATGTTATTGGGACAATTTTGTGGTTCAATCTGAGAATTGATTCTCTTGGTTTATAGGATCATCCGTTTTTGGTCAGAAACCTGCTTTTGGAGGTTTTGGATCTACTCCTACTCAAACAAGTCCATTTGGTGCCACACAGCAATCACAACCGGCTTTTGGAAGCAGCATATTTGGTTCCTCAACACCTTTTGGAGGATCATCTCAGCCTGCATTTGGTGCTACAAGCACTCCTGCATTTGGTGCTACAAGCACACCTGCATTTGGTGCTTCAAGCACTCCAGCATTTGGTGCTTCAAGCACTCCTGCATTTGGTGCTTCAAGCACTCCAGCATTTGGTGCAACTAGCACCCCTGCTTTTGGTGCTACAAGCAGCCCTGCATTTGGTGCAACTAGCACCCCTGCATTTGGTTCCACCTCTAGCCCAACTTTTGGTAGCACAGGGAGTGCATTTGGGGTGTCAAGTGCTCCCGTATTTGGTAGTGGAGGAGCCTTTGGGGCTTCAAGTAACCCTATGTTTGGTTCATCAAGCACGTCTGCATTTGGTAGTTCAAGCACTCCATTTGGGGCCTCTAGTACTCCTGCTTTTGGGGCCTCTAGTACGCCTGCATTTAGTTTTGGATCCACTCAGGCTTTTGGTCAGTCTTCTTCAGCATTTGGTAGCAGCAGTCCATTTGGTAGTACAGCCTCACCCTTCGGAGGTCAGAGTTCAGCATTTGGTTAGTTCAAGAACCATTAGAATTTTACTGTTATATTTCTATTTTAAAGATATTAGGTCTAGTGCAAATATAGTTGAAAGTAATCTTCAAATATTTTCTTGCAGGATCTCAAACTCCATCATCGACCTTTGGAAATACTGGTATGGGACAGCCAGGTTTTGGAGGTCAGCAACGGGGTGGAAGTAGAGTAGCTAGTTACACAGCAACAACTGAAGCAGATAGTGGTACCTCTGGACAGACTGCAAAATTGGAATCCATATCTGCCATGCCTGTTTACAAAGACAAAAGTCACGAGGAACTAAGATGGGAGGACTATCAATTGGGAGACAAAGGTTTTTTGTTTTTTGTTTAACAATTATAAAAACTTTTATAATTCTTCTGTCTTTCATTGCAGATGATGGTTTTGACTTAATGTATTATGTAATTTAGGTGGACCACTTCCCTCTGGTCAGTCTACTGGTTTGGCAGGCTTCAGTTCGTCTACAACTCAGACAAATGCCTTTTCTCCTTCCCCAGTGTTTGGTCAATCATCGGCAAATCCTTTTTCTTCCACAACACCTAATTCTAACCCGTTTGCGCCAAAGAGTTCCCCCTTTTCTTCTGGATTTGGAACTTCTGCCGCTCCTGCCTTCAGTTCATCAGCTTTTGGTTCTTCGACCTCAGCAGCAGCACCCTCTATTTTTGGCTCATCCCCATCTCCATTTGGAGCTAACTCTTCTTCAGCTCCCAGCTTTGGGCAATCTCCATCCCTGTTTAATACTGCTCCTGCTCAGACCTCTTCACCATTTGGCTCAAGTATTTTTGGCAATACACAGTCATCCCCATTATTTAGTTCTGCAGCCCCTCCAATTGCACAAACAAGTTCTGCTTTTGGACAGAATACCTCCCCCTTTGGGCAGGCTACACCTTTTAGTCAATCAAGCTTGTTTAATTCACCTTCTTCTGGTCTTGTTGGAAGTATTTTCTCGTCAAGTGCATCACTCACTTCTAATAATCTGACCGGTTTTGGTCAAACAGCGGTACGAGATTTCGTTTGCATTTGGTGATCAATAATGTTTTTATTTAAAATCATTGTTTATGAGCAAAGATAAATTGGAGTCATTTGAGCTTTATACTTTACAAACATAATGAACATTATTCTAATCCAGTTATGTAAGTATTTTATTAGTATTTCTGTAAATATTGTATATAAATAACGAGTAATAGTACAGAACAACAATGAAGCGATATCCATTGGGCAAGATTTCCGTATGTGAAATGCCAAATGCTCAAGTGTGTACTGCATTTTTCTAATACTTTTGTTGTTTGACTTTCATACCCGCAGCCATCCATTTCAACACCTTTTCAACCTGCACAACCTGCACAGTCGAGCGGTGCTTTTGGCTTTAGCAACTTTGGCCAGACACAACCTGGTCAGTTCATTATATTATCTTATGTTTATACTACTGTTTGTTGTTTCATGCAATGATTGAAGGATTAATGTTTTGAATGACTGTTTTATTAGTGGGTGCAAGCAGCTTCGGTGGCACTCCAGGCCTATTTGGTCAGAATAATTTTGGACTTGCGTAAGTTATAATTAGTTTAAGTCTTGCATTTAGTTCAAGTTGATTTTACCCTTTGGAGGTGACCAACGGGCTGTATCTTTTGAGTTTTGAAATATAAAGCATCCAGAAAATTAATATCACACAATCATTGATGTGTCATGGATTCATGGAATTATTGAATATACAAGATATATGACCTAACTATCCAGACATGAATTTAAGAAAAAAATACTTTGCATAAATCATTCTCCATTACATTTTATTTGTCCATTCAAGAATTTCTTGCACGTATTAAGAAAGCAATAAATTAGTTAGTGAATAGGAAATTCTTACTAAAATTCCGCTACATTCTTCTTTATTTCATTCTTTTGTGATTGTTGCACAATTAATTGACAATAATTACATCTTTCTATAAGCTCACCCAACGCTACATGTGTTATGAATACATAAAACACTAAAAACCTGTTTGGTGGTCAGGATATAATAAGATAACTATTTTATCCGGTTGTGATATAATAAGATTTTGTGATCAATTGTTTGGCGCATCAACAGAATTTCCTGATCTTATTCTCTATCTTATCCTATTAGTATAGAGCATTATTTATCTTGAGGGGGAAGTTGAGTTAGAAAGTAACAAGATAGGATATTTGCCCTTCCTCTTATTTTCACTCCACTCAACCTTCGTTACAACCACTGTCATCATAATTATCTTTAGTTATAAAATAATTTTGATTAGTGTTAGTATTTGTTAAGGATAATATTGGAATAAGGCTGTAATTATGTTGAAAGAAGGAAATGACTGTCAGTAGTTTGAAAAATTATCAAAACCGTAAAGGACACAATGAAATGGAGGAGTAGGATGATCAAAAGCAATTGCGAACTATTGCGCATACTGGTATGTTGCAGCACAACACCCTTCCAGTTTTGTAAGGGTTATCAATTGTTCGTGGTCATTTTGGCTGGAGAAACATTTAACAATTGCGTAAAAGTGTGGCAATTTGTGGGCTTAATAGCTGCTCTCTGTTGTTTTCGCTTGCACCAGACAGCCTCTGCTACCTGTGCCTTCACTGGACAGACTGGACAGCTTGTGCACTGTCAGTGGGCAACCTCTGTTCTGTAACTTCTTGTGTGAGAGGGTGAGGTTATGGCTGACGGGTGAAAGGACCTAGTTTTACTCTTTTTTTTGAGTGGGTGACAGCTAGTGATAGAATAAAGCTACTTTTTTCTTTGGTGAGAGGGGATGATGACTGAGAAGCGAAGTCTTAGGGTTTTTGGGTGAGAAGGTTGTTAGGCCTGGACCCCAAATCAAGCCACTTCCGCCCCAAACAGTCCTGCAACTGAGAAGGAGATTTTTACTGTTTTATCAATAGTGTTTTATACTATTATAATATATAATATTATAGAAAATATAGAAATTTATTATATATTAGAGACAACTATATCACCTTAATTCTGATTCTACATAAATATACACAACCAAAAGCATATAAATTGAAAACTATAATAACTAAATAGAATAAATAGAATTTTTAGCTAATTGATAATACTCTAATTGATAATCAATTGGCGAATAAGAAAAAGTTGGTTATTTTAGTTAATTGCAATAAATTTTTCTGTATTTTAAATTTGTCTGAATTTTGAAATGATTTTCCTATAATACCCTTAATAGTATTGGGACTGTGTATATTAATTTTTCCATTTAATTACTTTTCACCTAAATAATTAATTATAGAGAGAGAATAGTGACAACATATGAATAGACTATTATCTCTAAATCTGTGAGAGAAATCAACTAATTAAGGGTATTCTGGTAAAAAGATAATTAATGCAATAGAAAGTGGAACAAAGTTTTTTGAAGAGAGACAATAAAACGTCAAAACAATGTCTTTTAATTAGGTAGGAGGGAGTAATAAGAAGTAAGAACATTAAATATTATAAATTATATATTTGAAAACAAAATAGTAGCAAATTCTTCCCTTAATCGTCAACTTATATTCCCTCCATCTTGGTCATGCTCCAAGAATTTGCATATTTACTTGATTTTATATTAGAATGTCTTGTAAAGAACCATTAGTCATGTTCTTTATTATTATTAATGTTTATGTAGGGGATTTTTCTATTAGGTTCTTTTAGGAGCTTCCTAACCTTTGGTATTATGAACTATTGTCCCTTATAAATATAGGAGTATGTTGTATCAGAAAAGTAAGTAGTAAAAATAAAACAGTTTTAGCTTTTCTAAAAACTGAGTTGGTATCAGAGCCAAACTTCTGGGTTTTCACTTTCTGTCGTCGTTGTTGTCGTCTGCCGCTGTTGTTTGCTACGATTGCTATCTGTCTTCGCTTTTTCTTCGGCAAATTCAAGGTTAAATGCGCCTTGAGAAGTGCGACTTGTCCCTAGTGGTCGCCATCTCATCTGCCACCACACACACCATCATGCGTCACCTTTCTCCGACCATCCTCGAGCAGGTTTTCCTCACACACCACCTTTGTGTGGGAATCTCATCACTCCAATGCCACTCGTCTTGCTGTAGTCTCCTGAGTGTGTTGGGGTCCTTGTTTTTCTATTTCGTTGGTCGTGGCTCATATCTAGGGATTTTACTCTCAAGCCAAGTTTTCCTTCGTCAATTTTTCTTTGGAATGACTTTTGGTTGGAACACCCTATTTATCTGCTACTCCTACCATTACTTTTGCAAAACTCAACTAGAAAAACTATTTATCTTGGTCTTCTTTTGTGGAGTTATGGTTTCTTTGTCAAGGATACCATAATCATCTTGAACAAGATGTTTCTACTGTACTTGATGAAGAAAAATCTTAGTGGTAGAAGCTGGATTTTCAATTATGCGGTCCTGATGACAATTTGTCAAGCAAGATGTCTTAGAAATTTTGAGACTTTACAAGACATGCTCCTCTTTTTGGAAAGGGCACACGATATCTTTGCTAATGATGTGCACGTCTCTTTTAGGCAACTCAGAGTAACTTCTCTCAAACAAGCATTTCATGATATGGTTGCTCACAACATAGGAAAAATTTTAGGCGGTGAACAACTCCCATCAATGGACAACTTAGTTACTCTACTTCTTCGGGGACCTACATTAGTAAAAGACGAGAATTCAATTAATGGAATTGAAACATTAGCTATGGTAGCACCACAAGGAAGAGGAGGTAGGAGCAACCGAGGAGGACGTGGTGGTTGTAGTATGTGTCCTCAATACACATATTGTAAGAAAATAGGCCATACCTAAGAAAAATGTTATGCCTTACATGGCTTTCCAGACAAAGTTACTCATGCTTTTAAATCTGATAATCTAGAAACCAGAGTTTCAAATGAAGAGTACCAAGAATTTTTAAGGTACCTAGAAAATCTTTTAATCTTGGCCAATCCTCCTCAATGTCAAATGTGTCAATTGCCTGCAGTGGAAGGTAACATTCCTTCATCTTCTTCCACGTCCTTTCCAAAAATTCCTCATTTCATTACCGTTGCCAATGGATCCAAAGTGGCATCTCATTAAATTTGCAAAGTTTCCTTGTCTTCTTCACTAAATTTATATTCTGTTTTGTATATTCCTCATTGTCCTTACAATTTAATCTCTTTGAGTCAATTGACTCGTTCCTTAAATTGTTTTGTAACCTTTACTACTAATTCCTTTCTTATATAGGAACATGGTATGGGTCGTTTGATTGGAGAAGGACATGAGTCACGAGGACTTTATTTCTTAAAACCTAGCTCCTTAGTTTCCTGTCTTGCAACTTCATCCCCATAACTTTTGCATGATCATTTGGGTCCAAGTTGAAGATGATGGTTCTGAGTCTCAAACACATTCAAGTCTTAGATTGTGAGTTTTGTAGTTAGGAAAACATGTTAGATCTTCTTACCCTAAAAAGTCTCAAACACATTCAAGTCTTAGATTGTGAGTTTTGTAGTTAGGAAAACATGTTAGATCTTCTTACCCTAAAAAGTCTGAGACGTGATGTAATTTTGCCTTTTCAACTATTTACTCTAATATTTGGGGATTCTTATGGTTTTAATTATTTTGTAACCTTCATTGAATAATTCTCTTGATGTAGGGTTGATTTAATGAAAGAGAGATTCGAACTTTTATCCATATTTATGTCCTTTTTTAAAGAAAGTAAGAACTAATTTGGGGGAGTGTTGAAATGTAATGTTATTAATGTTTATGTAGGGGAACTTTATATTAGGTTCTTTTAGGAGCTTCCTGACCTTTGGTATTCTGAACTATTGTCCCCTATAAATACAGTAGTATGTTGTATCAAAAAAGTAAGTAGTAAAAATAAAACAGTTTTAGCTTTTCGTAACTCTTTAAGTAGTCCTATTTTAGTCAAGTATTGGCTCTATATAAATCGGTCACTATAGGTTCAAGGACACAAATGGAAAGATAGAGTTGCCTGAAACTTTAATCCTCCTGAAATTGTGGGAGCAGTATTTCCCAAATATCAGTTAATAAAAAAAATGGAGGATACTCTTTGTATATGTATCTAGGATTATCGTATGTGTATTGTTATTGGAACCTATTTGTTTTAATATGAAAGGTCTTTTGAATGTTTGTGGATATTGTAGTTGCTGTTCTCATTATTTTTTGTTTTTATATTTGGCAGGTCTTCTACCCAGAGTTCTGTGGTTGTACAAGCAGTTCCGAATACAAATCCATTTGGAACACTTCCTGCAATGCCTCAGATGTCAATTGGTCGAGTTGGAACCACTCCTTCAATTCAATATGGAATCTCTAGCATGCCTGTAATTGAACTTTCTTGGTTTAACTTTGGATTTTATGCTAATTTAAGGCTATAATTATTGAAATTTTTGACCATCCAAACTGTTGTCAACAATTGAGTTTTAATGAAAGGTAACGAATTCAATGTCACCTCATTTCAGGCACTAGACAAGCCTGCTCCTGTTAGAATATCATCTTTATTAACATCTCGGCATCTCTCACAAAGACGAATAAGGCTTCCTGTCAGGAAATATCATTCTAAGAATGATGGTCCTCGGGTTAGTATTTTAGCTGTTTTTTTTTTCATTCAATCTAGGTTTCTAGTGAGATAGTCTTTAATGGAGAGTTGAATATATTATGTCTTAACTTCTCTACTCTCTTGCAGGTTCCATTCTTTAGTGATGATGAGGATACTACAACGACACCCAAGGCCGATGCTCTGTTCATTCCTAGGGAAAATCCAAGGGCGTTGATCATTAGTCCCATGGAGCAGTGGCCGGCAAAGGCTTCTGAGAAGGGGTTAACTTTTAAGGATAAATCCATACCCAGGAATGAGAACGGTAATATCCTTTTTATAGTTTGTATTTAGTGTTTTATCTTTCCCTAATTGAGTTGTAGGAGTAGTGAGTATTCGTTCAGTACGTTGATTATAATGTTTTCCAACCAAAGCTTTGTGTACCAGTCTTTACTATGATGGGATAGAGTATTCAATTTTGTTTTTGAAAACCCTCTGGATGAGTAATGTCTAAATACTACAACTTTAGTTAGAGTAATAAATTACTTTATAAGCATGCACAACATCGTTATATATATATATATAAATGTACTGACAAAGTGCCCATATTTTTTTTTCGAATGCCATTTTCAGGGAATATCTCTAAAGAGGCAAGTGTAACACCTGATAGAACCAGCTCACAAGACAAAGATAGTACGTGCTCCTTATGAATTTCCAGTATTTAATGTATTTATAGAATAAAGCTGTTGTCCCATTTTTATGCTTTTTAATTTCTGTGCCATAATTTCTGTTAATGATTGCAGATATTGGTGTAGAAAATGGTGTTGTGAAGGAGCAAGGTCAGCATACAGCGACAAAGCCAACTTCCAACGGGAACAATGAAGATCATTCTTCACAAAAGGCAGACATGTACAAGACACTGAGTGGTCACAGAGCTGGCGAGGCTGCCATTGTGTATGAGCATGGGGCTGACGTTGAGGCACTAATGCCAAAACTGCGGCGATCTGATTACTATACACTGCCTAGGATACATGAACTGGCGGCCAAGGAAAGAGCCGAACCAGGATTCTGCAGTCATGTAAAGGATTTCGTGGTTGGAAGGCAAGGCTATGGCAGCATCAGATTCTTGGGTGAAACGGATGTACGAGGGCTTGATTTGGAGTCCCTGATTCAGTTTAACAATAGGGAGGTGATTGTATACATGGATGATTCAAAGAAACCTCCTGTTGGACAAGGTCTGAATAAGCCTGCTGAGGTCACACTACTCAATATCAAATGCTTCGACAAAAAAACTGGACATCAGTATACAGAAGGACCAAAGATTGAGAAATACAAGGAGATGCTCAAGAGAAAGGCTGAGGACCAAGGTGCTGAATTTGTATCATATGATCCCACTAAAGGAGAGTGGAAGATCAGGGTTAACCATTTCAGCGTCTACAAGCTGCTCGATGATGTAAACAGTTGGATAAATCATGAAGATGACAACTAATGGTTGGTTCAATACATTTGATAGTTTCAGAACCTTAGTTCTGCTTTGAAATGTATTTTTCTATTCCTGTAAATCGTCATTGTGTTGTGGTTAGATGGCTATAGCTTGGGGCATCGTTGTTCATTTGTTTCGTATCTTGTTTTGGGGATATTTTATACATCTTACGGTTGGTTGGGGATGTTCAAATGTGGGTTTTCCAGCATCATTTTTTTCGCACTTCAATTTTGATTCCCATACATGTTATGGTTATTTTCAACTTCTGTTTGTTTTTTTAATCATGGTGGAATTTGACTTAAAAATTTTCATCTGATTTGCCAAGGATTTGAAATCTTTCACGAATGTAATGTATGTTTATTTCAGGACTGAACCGTAGTCAATTTCTTTATAAAGGGTGTCTGAGACAGTTGAAGTTTTAGCATTTTAACTGCTTTTTCGAATAAAAAGGTTTATACTATTTTTTGTATAATTTAAGATAGCGGAAAAAGTGTTTTGCTAAATACGACATTCCTCAAATATTTATAGAAAAAGCTGGTTTTATATTGGAACATTTGATTTATTCAATAAATTTATGCAAGTAAAAGTTGTGATTATAATTGATTATAAATTCATAACCAATTACAATACATAATTGATTAATATACTTAATTCTATAGAGACAAATAGATTACTAAAGTTTTAAATAATATTGTATAATTTTCATTTAATAATTTATTAGTCATTGAAAATAATGAGACAATAAAATTATATATCACAAAAGTTTAAATTTAATGAATAAAAATAAAAGAAGATGAAAGATTTTAACACTTTTAATTAAACATAGTCATATAACCAATTAGTTTGAATAATAAATACTTCAAAAATTAAAATATTACATTATATTTTATGAATAAAAAGTTTAGAAGTATGCATTTATATATCTCATTTATTTAGAGTAATAAATAGATGGATAGAAAAATAAATTAAGGGTGAACAAAAGTATGAATCCAAAATTTATTAGGTGAGTTCAATTTCTTAAACTATGTCTAGATTTTCTTAACTTTTCTAAGTTAAGTTACAATGTTTTAATTTTCTCCATTATAATCAATAATTGCTTACAAATCGTTTAGGCTATTACCATCACAAAGAGAATATATGTTCAATACCATCTAGTCTAAATACTCGCAGGTGTTTCTCCTATCACTCTTTTCTTTCTACTTACAAAAGTAAACAAATATTACAATGAAGCTTGAGAATACTACTTGACTTACTTTTTTTTTTCTCTTCCCTTAAAAGTAAGTAGATATTACAATTAAGCTTGAGAGAACTTCTCATTATTTCACTTTATTACTCTCTCTTCTTTCTTCTTACAAAAGTAAGTTGGTATTCTGATTAAGCTTGAGAGTTTTTCTTTCTTAAGCTCTTCTCTTTCTCTATATCCTTAGTTAGAGGAATTTTACTCTGATAGATCAAAGATATTTCCTTGCTCAATTTTGATGATGCTATTTCTTGATATTGTTATCTCCTTTTTCATCATCATCTTCTTCCTCTGTTAATTATTTATTTATACACTTTGATATAGCCGTTTTGACGATGCTTGTCTTGAAATTTGATAATATGACCATTTGACGAAGCTTGTCTCGAGGTCTAATCTAATGGCTATTGGTGTAGGTGTATGTCATAGGATGGTGTCTTTTTGTCAGAGCAAACATGCTTTTTCAGAATTTTATAAAAAATAGATTTAACTTCTTATTTGGCACAACTTTTGATGAACAAATCTTCTTTTATCTTCTTCTTTCCAACATTCATTTTTGATTCTCATAAGATAGAGCAGATGAATGCTTGTAGTAACTGTCATGCACAAGATAAAACAAATGTCTATATAATAAGTATATTCTATTACCTGTTTGCTTTGGTGTTTTTAAGCGTTGAGCATTTAATGTTGTTTAGAGCTTGTTCAAGGTTTTATGTTTTCTATTGTTTCACTAAGAGTGTGTTTGAAATCGTTTAGCCTTTTTCTTGGTTAGTGTTTTACTTGTTGTTTTCAGTATTTGTTAGAAGTAGGTTGTACTTATTTTTAGGTCACCATTTCCTAAGGCAAGAACATTCCGTGATTCTCATCCTTGTTACTGACATCCATTTTGGGTTTAGGTGGATGTGTGTACTGCATATTATTAGTAAAGAATAGAGCAGATTGTGCATGCAACATGTAACACTCTAAATTCTGGGATGTCACAAGTTTACAAAAATCACTAAGTTTCAAAACTTTATCAGAATGTAGATACGTATTTTTCAAAAACCTTAACCTTTCAACATGCATAATTTATTCAAAACATAATAGTTCCAAAAGCCTTCTCTAATTACATTATTCTAAAAGTAATTAAAATGACTAAGAAAATAAGACAACTACAATTACGTTGTTTCAAAAGTCTATACCAAAAGTACTTTTTTAAAGAAACCCAAATCTTTTCTCCATTATCTCACGAATCTATCATGCCTATGGAACATATGCAATATCATTTGCTCACGTATAACACATTATACGATCACCGTCGATAATATCATTCACAAACACAAACACAAACACGTATGGGATAAGCTACCGATAAAACAATCATAACAACAAGATATAAACATACTGATTATATCAACAATAATCAAACACCCCATACATAGTAGTAATAACAATAAGATTCCTCGACCCTCGATCTCTAATCCTTGATGTCATCACTAACATCTCACACATATACTTTTGGTTTATCCACTCATTAACACTGATGCTAACTACTTACTATAAGCATTATAGTAACACCACTATCAACATAACATAACTTGGAGCATCTTCAATACCATGATCATCATCATAGGTACACCACATCATGATTATCCCAATCATGAATCACACCATGAGCATCCCAAACCATGAGCTCCATCATGTCAAGACTTAGTCACACTCTTGTATCTTACCTCACCAACTATAGTCACTCCTACAGCCCAATCAGTAGATTTCCCATACAGATACACTCGAGTCATCCTTTTTCTGGATTCATACCTGTTCTCTTATCACACAAAGAAGAACATCTATCTCCCTAACCAAAGAAGATTCACCATTCGAATACCGTTCTTTTTCTACAATTATTTGCCAAAGAAAACACTACTCTCTTTTCAACAACCAATTCCAAAGAGAGTCACCACTTTCTTTTCAAAGTTTTTGAATATTCGAAGAGAACATTTTTATACAATTTGTATCATGAAGATTTTGTATTTCTTATACACGTGACATCCCGCTAGGGCTATTTTAAATGTCATTTGCGAAAATTTTTAAAAATACTATTCACCCTCTCCCTTTCTAGTCTTTTCCTATGTTTTCATCTCAGGTGGAATATGAGATCTAAAGAACTAAATTGTTGCTTTCTATGAGAGAACTATATAAGTTTTAAACAAGAATAAAGAAAAATCCATCTATAAAAGACTCTTTTGAATCTCAAGGTAGAAAGAGTTTAAAGAATGTATTTAATATGTAATATTAAATGAAAATTGTATAAAAATTATATGAGAACTCACTCTCTACTCCATATAATATGATAGACTTCCAAAACCATAAATAAACAAATATATAAAATAAATTAGATTCATTAAAGATAATTAATTATTATATTATAAATACATTATAGAATATGATAATAAATTTTTATATTATAAAATATTAATTAAAATATTTTGAAGATGTTTTATAACATCTTGGACGTGTACAATTGTAATAAAAAAATATAGAATATAACGAACATAATGACCTTTCTTCCAATCATTATTAGAATTAATCATTTTAAAATATAAAACCGTGTTAGTCCCAAACCAACTAACAATGAAATTGACCGAAACGGGGATTTTAAAAGACAGAATAAAAAAGTTGCTAAAAGGATGAATAACCTCAGCTTATTTTAGCCTTATTTCATATCATATAATTATCCTATTATTATAAATACATTATTTCTAAATGTTCTGTTATGCAAAACATGAAAATCCAAAAGTCAAATAATAGTGGCGTGGATAAATAAGACAAATATGACTATGATATATATATATATATATATATATAAATTACATCAACATCCTCTAATTTTTATCATTACAGTAATTCTTTATTACGGAATGCGTGTGTGATATAAAAGGGTGCATGTGTAATGTTTTTAAAGGATAAAAAGGTGAATGTGTAATGTAAAGAGAAAAGATAATGTAATATTTTAAAAATAAATGGAAAGTTTGTAGAATTTAAAAAAGAGAAATAGATGTTAGTAATTCGAAAAAATTCTCAAAAGATATCAGTGTAATTTACATCCTCAAAGCACCACACTTCTACCAACCCCATCCTCAAATAAATTCAAATATTTGATAGAAACTTCTGACATTTGTATTCATATATAGTATTGAAAAATAGAATAAAAAAGTCATTTGACAAAGATATCTTCCTAACCCTCATGCCGAATAATTCAATAATTCAATAACTCATTGGAAAGACGGATATTAACATGTTTGAAATCTAATTTAAAAAAAAAAAAACTAAACATATTATTATTAACTTCACATGGTAAGATTCTCGTAGAGAATAAATGCAATAATTTTGGTTCCACAGTGTAAGATCATAGTTAATTAAATAAATTTCCTCTTTGCGATATCATATATTTAAGTTTTTCGTGTTTGACCCTTCATTTAGGTTTTATCTTATAATCATTTTAGTTATGTTTTTTAGTGGCATTCTTCTCATTTTAATACATATATTCATGATGTATTCTTTCGAGTTGGACAATCAATGTAATCAGTTTTCTTTGATTTGTTTTTCTCTTGTCAGTCATTCTTCTCTCTATTATTGTGTCTTGTTTGTAGGTGAATCCTAACAAAGTCAAATAAATGAACATAACATCATTTCAACGTGTAATATAAGACAAGTGCATATAATTAAAAGACATAGAAAATAGAATATGCAATACATTCTAAGATATAGAACATTCATTGTTTAACTTAGACTTAAACTAATTGCAAGATGAATACTTGAATTCCTAAAATATTAAAATATTAAAATAAGAGTCTATAAGAGAGTATTGCATTTCTAATAGATCAATATTTTCACAATTTTACAAATAAATTATCTCATTCAAAAAGTATCTTATAAATACACAAAGTTATTAAATTAATTAAGTGATGAATACAAATTAGTTCTCTTTTATACCTAAATTTTAGATTTTCTAAGTTATATGTTATCTCAATGTAAGGACAGAACAATAAA